TAGGTGTACTTAGACTTTTACCTAACCACAGTTCTCATCGAGTTGTGCATAACGGTTCTTGTTGGGTACATCCCGATGCATAAGTAGATATTGAGATGTCAAGATGGGATTCGTCTCTCCCAGTATAGGGGGTTGATGTCATAAGATTGTTTGATATAACTATAACCTGGAAATCCTTGGCCGAGATTAAAAAAGATAAACTGATTGTCAGTTTGATCTTATAGGTTATGAGTTTAATATCTACAAACACTAATTGAGCAATTAGGGTTTGACAGTTTTCCATACCCTAGGCTTAATAGTTTGACATGGTTTGACGAAGAGACCGGACTAAACGGCATTATCACTGAGTGGTACTGATAAAATGGTGTAAGCATCTTGTAGACATTTATCACAACTTATACCCGGGTAGTCTTCATGTGTAGCTAGCACCTCTGTTGTACTTGTGGATATGATCCACTGCCGAGTTCTTAAGTTGGGCCCTAGAGTCACACCAAGCGCGTACTTGAATCCTATGAAACACAATTTATAGAGTGATGCGTATGATTGATACGCATATATGATTTTATCGGATACACATAAACAGTTATGTATATCGATAAAATCGGAATGCTATGTGCTTAGGAAATAAATTCTAGTATTTTTCCTATAAAGTTAACTTTTAGTCAACTAGTTGACTTTTTGGTCAACAGTTGACTTTTGGTCAACTCATTGACTTTTTGGTCATATGATGACTTATTAATCAATGATTGGAAAATTACAAAATATCGTATTTATGAAATACAATATTGATTTGGTATTCTCATTTATGAAATACACATACCATGTATAATGAGTCATGAGATGAGTCATTTAGTGGTATGGTTTGAGCACATGGTTTATTAGCACATGGTTTTGAAATGTAATGATTCATAAGATGATTCATTGCATGACTCACTAGATTAATCATTGATATTTGATGATTCATTGCATGACTCATAGGATGAGTCATTCATGTCATGAACACATTTCACTCTATAAATATGAGCTCTCTTTCTTATGGAAAGGTTAATGAAAAATTGGCTAAGTGGTTTTTCCATAAGAGAATAAAAGAGAGCTCTCCTCTTACTAATTTCTAGCAATCTTGAGTAAGAGAAAGTAGTAGGATTTTAAAGTACCCCGGGGTGGATATCTTGCCTTGTGTCTCAAGAAGACTCCGATTTTATCAAGCTCACTTGAAGACTTGGAGATCCACTACGAGGAGATTTACTACTACAAGGAGCAAGAGTTAGGGGTTGTTCGATCTTCCATCGAATCACGCTTCAAAAGTATGACTTTATAACCCTTGTATGCTCTCTTTAATATAGGGATTATGTTAGATTTAATTAGAATGGTCCTATAATGTATTTCATGCTCTCTACATGCATAGCATAATTATACATATAGTCTTCCGTTGCGTATTTTGCATGTATGAAGCATGGATTCCCTTCATGGTATCAGAGCCATGGTTCCATCTAATTAAATCTTAACATGCATATCTAACTCATAGAGGACTTTGTTCTTGCTTCTAATTACTAGTTTAATTAAAAGATGTTTTAATGAAACTAGTTAATTTATTCAAGTTGTTTTGTAATAAATTATACTAGTTGTTGATTCAAAAATGTGATTTTTGGTTCATATGTTTTTAGGAGTAAAAACACTTGTATAAATTGCAAAACATTTATTTACAACTAGTGTAGTTGTATGTTAGAAGCATGATAGTCTTATTTGAGTTAGGATAATCCCTATGTTATCTAGTTTTCCAATTTGTTGCATAACTAGATAGATGCATATTTCTTAATGTTGATTAAGTTATATGTTTTATATCATCTTGCATGGATGTTATGTTTATGGATGGTAGTGGACAACGATTCTCTTGCATTTATTGTATTGATGTAATATAGCTAAAAATGTAATATTATTTTTGACCTCTTTCCTCCCCGAGCATGGGCTACGCCTACGGGTTTTGGCACTTGCTCACCGATCATGGGCTACGCCTATGGGTATAGGCCCTTGTTCGGGTGTGGGGGGGGTATGGTTATTTAGTTTAGTTATTTCATTTATGGCTTTTATTTTACATTCAATGCAATATTATTACCCATCCTACGAGATGGTTTTTCCATTATAAATGGGGCTTGCACGTCCTATGTATATGTGAATGTAATAATACAGGATTTGCAAGGGAGCTAGCAATGTAAGGAGTTGCAAATTGCTTGCCAAAATGTAATTAGTGTAGTTGCATTTTATTTCCTTAGTTGTCCACTACCATTCCATATTGCTTTTACATATGTTGATATGTTGGTTGTGCCCCAATTGTAGATGTCTATACAATTGGGTGCTATATTTTACAAAGTTTATATCTCTATCTCATTAGAGAATAGTTTTTATTATAAAAACTCATTTTTTAAACTTTGTGAGACATGGCAATAAGAGTTTATTGACCATAGAGTAGTGAGATCGACATTAACATAGTGTTAGTGTGAAAGATAAATAAACCTAAAGCAGTTAAAAGAGATGTATTTAGAACGAACTTTTAACTAGTGTCTAGGAAAGTGATTATAAGATATAACTCATGGGGTGATGCCCAACTTAAGATAAGGGGGTGATGCCCAATCTTTCGCGTTATAGTCTTAAAGAGAAGTGGTTACTTAATTAAGGTCCGATAAATATTCCCGGTGAATAGCTCGGAACCCTCCCACCAATCTTGCGCTTTCCTGGCTAGTTTAATTGTTGCAAGTATAAATATAGAGCATCTTTAAACTATATCAAGTTCGATTACGGTAAAAGATTTGAGAAATCGTCCGTAGCCCTCCATCATTTTAGTTAAATACTATTAAGCTTATAAATACTATGTTTGTTGGCATACGTCAAGGCATAACTATTCTATGGCTAAATAGTATTCATCTGTATATAAGATATAAGGATAGCTTAAGTTGGTTATGCAACTTTGTTGGCATACGTCAAGAGTTTGCATAAGTTAAATTTAAGCCAGTCAAGAAATGATGGGTACAAACTTGACTAGCATTTTATGATTTGTTGGCATACGTCAAGGTCATAAAAGACTAGGGGTAAAATCATATCAAGAATTACAAGAGTGTAAAAGACAAAAGTTGTCTACCAATTATTGAATGTGTTAATTTGTTGACATACGCCAAGGTTGATGCATTCAATGATAATTGGATCTTGATCCCACTTGAAAACAATGAGTTGTTTTCCGATCACCTATTATAAGGTTTTGAGGGACTCGAAAAATAGTGGGAGGCATAACTTAGATAAAAATAAACCAAATCTATTTTATGTATTGAACATCTGCTAAAATACCTTTTCTCTCTCTTTCAGGCCATTATGTCTGGTTTAAAACTCATATTGGAACAGAACAAGTTAACCGGTCCTAATTACAAAGACTGGTTGAGGAATGTTAAAATTGCCCTAACTTATGACAAAGTAGCATATGTCCTCACTGCGCCCGAACCTGTTCTAGGCCTAGAACCCACTATAGCGGAAACTGAAATCCGCAATACATGGGATAAAGATTGTTCACTTGCTCAATGCCTCACCATTGCCTCTATGGATTTGGTCCATCAGAGACAACATGAGAATATGGATATCAGATCCATATTTCGTAATGAAAAAGCGGGCCGGTTAACCGAACCGGATTAAATGGATGAGAAGAAGACTCTAAACCGCCCGAACCGAATTAAACCGGTTTGGATCCGGTTTGAACCTCTGAACCGCCCGAAAAAAAACCGAATCGAATTTTCTAATTCGTTCTTTGTCGGATATTCATATTGCTCAAAATGGGAAGGACTTTGTCGTTCGGAATTCGGTCAAAATGGAAAGGACTTTTGGTTCGGACGAAGTCGGATGGAATAACTTTCTTATTAGTGAGTCATCACTTGAACATTAAGCTATATAATTGCTCGGTAATTTGATTGTTATGTTTACATACATGTTTATATTGTATAGTTCCTTTTTCATTGGGCCTGCTAGCGTATATGCCCGCATTAAAATCGGTGAAACCTCATATAAGCTTTCAAATTCTACTAGAGGCATGTTAAGTTGTTTTCCAAGAAATGAAAGATAACCTTTTGATTATAGTTAATTAATATTTGAATGTTACGTAACCATATGTACTTGTTGATATGGTTTGCACTCATTTTACTGATTTTGATTTTTTGTTAGCTGTGGCAATGATGTTACTTCAAACAAGCTCCACATTTCATTGTTTGGGGAAAAAAGTTAAGTAGACAAAATGGACAAATAATGATACTTCATCAGAAATTAATAGGCAATGATCTCAGGTGTGGGCAGATTTTTGTGAAATAGTATTAATTCGGTCCAAAACCGAAACCGATCCGAACCGATCCGAATTTCGGTTGGGCCGAATATTCGGATGAAGGGAAAAAAATCTGGATCTGGATGAGAGTTTTGAGAATTCGAAAAATTCGGATTGGATGCGGATTGAGCTTAAAACCGATCCGAACCGAATATGCCCAGCCCTAAATAAATGAGTGTCTAAAAAGTTTGGTGGATAACTATTCCCTATCCACTTAAGTTGATAGGAGTCTTGCTCTCTCTCTCTCTCTGATGCCAAGACCGGACTATAGCCAATCCATACACGCTTGTCCTTCAACAGGGTACCATCATGTTTAATTCTTCGTAGTTACATCATCAATGGCCTGGGAGAAAACTAACTGCAATTGTTTATGAGAACAAGGTAGAGATGTTATCAATCGGCTATACAATCCTTGATATTGAAATGGAAAAAACTCCCATCGCTCACTAATTTCCTTTGAAAACGTCTTTCTGAAGATAACATGATCATTGAACATGATCACAGAGCACACATTTTCCTTGATTCTCAGAACTCGTATTAGCCGCAGACTACAACATAGTTCTCTCTAGTCGTACAGAACGAGGTCATCAGGTGACCCCCTGAAAGCACTGATGTAGGAAGAACTAAATTTGCATTTCAAGACTTCACAGCTTTTCAAAACTCTGGATTAGGAACGTAAATTTACATAAAACTGACCAATAAATTGTTAATAAAAACATGAAACTTGATAATTATAGATATGAAAGATAAGAACTAATCGCAGTCATTTCTACAGTCTCCAGCCGAACATACCCAAAATACAAACTGCTACTCCAGCCAAACTTCCTTCGCCATTTACTGAACATCCAGCATCAACTTCTACCCACAGCTATCCATCACAAGAATCCTAAAAGTTATTATACAATATACAATACCTGAACTGTTGATGGCTCAATAGTATAAGCGCCATTCCTCAAACTAGCGACCATGCTGACTTTAACTTTCTATAGCAGCAACTTTAATCGGTGGATTTCATCTGCAGTACATGAAGAAATAAATGAAAACCTCCTTTTTTTCCTTTGGCGTCCATTCTTTAAGAAGGTTCGTTTTTTTTATGTCCCAGCCGGATAGAAGAGACTGAGACCAGGTTGGCGCCTCACGTGTTCTGGAATTAGCTTGTTGATGAGATCTTGAGATGCCCCATCTAGCTGATAAAAGAAAAGGAAGAGATGAGGTGAACTGTTTATTTCTTAAGATTTTATCCGTTTATGAGTCTTCAGGTTCTGGATAAAATAATTCTGCTTCATGTATTGCATAGTTAAGACAAATGAAAATTGGACAAGAAATGGGTGTTTAATTTCAACCGCTGGCACGTGAAGCATTTAATATTTCTTTGAAGAAGAAATTTTCTAAACAAACCCATTCATAATTTTTTTCTAAAAGTAGACCCGCTTGAGTTTTATTTCCAAAAATAGACCCATTTTGTCTTAATCCGATTTCTAAATAGTCGGGGTTGCCAACCCCGACTATTTAGTGCGTAGAATGTTAGGGTTTAGGGTTATAATTGGGGGTTTACAACCTCCTAAATAGTCGGGGTTGGCAACCCCGACTATTTAGGAACCGGATTAAGATAAAATGGGTCTATTTTTGTAAATAAAACTCAAGGCGGTCTATTTTTAGAAAAAAAATATGAATGGGTTTATTTAGAAAATTTCTTCTTCTTTGAACGTATATCATATTATACAGCATTAACATAAGGAATCCACACATTATGATGTTCTTTACACCTGGTCTCTATGCACTTACAGTAAATTTCATAAATATAACAGTAACAGCAATGACAATAATGCATTGTCAATTATGACAACCAACAGACATAATTCAACGAAGCTAAAGTGACCAGAACCTTACCTCTTGTTGGAAGTTGAAAAGGGGAGGCAATGGCCGACCATTTGGCAATCGTGCATTGGGTTCACGGAGTTCATCAAAAAAGGGATGGGAACATGCTTCTAACTGCAATGAGAAAAGTAAAGATGAGACATGAAGGAGGCTAGATTTAAGCATATACTGTTACAATGAACACACTTAAGAAAGCAAGCAAATTTTCTTATGTCTATGACAGCATAAGAAGAGTGCTATTATCAAGCTCAACTTGCCACTTTGGCCACCCAAGGAATTTCTTACAAAAAATCATGATCAGCAAATTACAAAGCACCAACATAACGCATACCTAATCGTCTTGATTCATTATATAATTCAAACTGCTTAACCAGTTAGCCAATTTTGGATCAGACATAAGCTGAAGACGGTGCCCAAGGAGTAAAAGCTATCAGAAAACTATCCAAGATGGGCTTTGATTATAAACACACAATTGTACAAATTTGTCACATAACACGAGTCAACATTTGTTTCTCACTTCTCTTCTGTCATTAATTGAGCTTCATATTTTTAGACTGCAACAGTTCGAAGGCAATATCAAAACACCATGGCAGACAGCAAAAACGTTTACATAAATGGTATTTTTGATGCATGGCAAATGGGTGATAAAGAGTGAAAACTGGAGAGGATAAGGACAATAAAGAAACAAGTAAGAGAAAGCAACTAAAAAAGATACCACATTCACCTTTCCAAAATCGAAAATATTACGAGATCTCTTACAAACAGAAATCATGCACCGAAACATCTAAAGATAATGTAGATGTTAAAAGCAGTCATTATTTAGTCTAACAATGCAAACAAAAATCTAAAGATTGGTTGCTTATATGAATTTCATTGTCAAACTTCAAATGTAATGGACACGGCCATAAACAATTTTAGCGAAATTACAAACTAGTTGTAGAAACTTACTGCAGTACAACGAAAACTTGGTGAGTACTGGAGAAGTCGTGATGTAAGATCTATTGCTTCTGGTGGCATTCTCTTGTGGAATATCTGTCGAAAACAAACTACTTAGAGATACTCCTGACAGCAAAAACTGATGAATAATATCATACCAACACAATGAGTTTGTATCACTTGATAAAGAACCTAATAGAAAGTATGATAACATAGTTAAAAAAAATTTGCTGCTCATCCCTCAACAAATGGCATGAATAATGGCAACCTACTTTTCTTTCAACAGTTAAAAAGAGTCTTCATTTATAATCAATTAATTCTATCATGAATAAGCCATAAGCATCACAAACCGTGTAGAGTTGAAATTTGAAGAAACAAACTTCTATTGTGTACTACAATTTGGCATCTACCAAGATCCAGAAGTATGATCTAGAGTAAGATGGGCCATGGCGAACATTTCTGTGCCGGGTTGAGAATCTTGCGATAAAATCCATACTACTTATGTTTACCGCGATGATTAAATGGATTGACCCAATTATTGCTCTAATCATTATATTTACCTTGCTGATATAAGTTGATCAACCCAATTTCTGCCCTGCTCATAATCAAGACCTTTTTTCTAACAGAAAGCTCACAGAATGAAAGAGCTATCCTATGATTTAAATAAATAAATTTGCTGATTGTTTTGCTTTTCTTATTACAATTGAGGTAGTCCCATTTGATGGATAAAAGGATAATCTGGGTTAAGAGGTACGAGTACAGACATGAAGGTCTAAGCAATGCAAGTTATCATACATCATAATTCACATATGCATAAGCAACAAATCTTATAAAACGTACCAAGACTTGTGCAAGTAGTTCTGTCAGATCACTTTGTGTATTGTCAGAGGATATTGCTTCATTATTTTTAGCTTCACGGATGTGAGAAGTCACTGGGAATAAACCCACAAGTCGCGAAGTGACATATTTAGCAACTGTGTGACTAAATTCTCTCATATGCCATAATATATCAACCTTCACTATAATAGTACAAATTCCTCCCATTTTCAATTTACAATCACATCCATCTGATGGACTCAGTCAGTGTCTTAAAACAAGATCACAATGTTCTATAAGATTACTAAGATGTAAGGTAGTTTTAAAATGTTACTTTGAAAAGTGGGTCCATTTGCTTACAAGATTGCTTAAGAAATTGTGATCAGATTAATACATGTTTATAGCAGTGTGAAGTGTCCTACAATTGTCCAAAAACTAGTGCCTTTAATGCTGAGGGAGCACATAGACATTCCAAACTGCCAAGTGAGTTGTTTAGTAGCATGACAATGTTTACAGGATTTGCTTGAATTTTAACATAAAAAGGAAGATATATGAAATCCTAACCTTATGCCATGGATGAGCTTTTATCTGTGGAAACCTAAAATCTGTATAGTTAGGATTCATGCACCGAATTTCCTCCCGAGTTGGAGTACCAAGAACCTGCAAGAAAGAACCTAATTTGTTATCGTATTGACAAAAGATCCGCCAATCAGTAGGCTAGGACCTTATATTGTACCTTGATTATCTCAACCAGCTGATCAACAGCACTTTCTCCAGGAAACAGTGGCTGTCAAAAAAAAAAGGTTGAAACTCTATATTTTGAAAGCTTAAAAACAAAATCATGCATTCATATGACAAGCATCTTGTATTCTATATCACATGTCCACAAACTGAGTACAAAGCAATGGCTGACCTGCCCAAGGAGTAACTCAGCAAGGACACAGCCTGCTGACCATATGTCAATAGAAGTAGTGTACTCTGTCGCCCCAAATATAAGTTCCGGAGCACGATAATAGCGTGAACAAATGTAAGATATGTTTGCTTCACCCTTAACCTGATGATACAGTTACATTCTTTAGTAAGGAAAGAACTAAAGGTGCACGTTCAAAAACAAGCCACATATAACTTAAAAGAACTGCATCCAAGCAATAATCTAGAAAAAGAAAATAGACCAAACTGATGCCAAGAAAGAACATGAATACTACCAAGAAATACAACGAAACATCGCAAGAACATTCATGTGGTAAGCCTAGTAGTGAATCCTTATTCATCAATCAATCAAAATTGAGGTCTACAATTCTCTGCTTTTATTCTGACCTCATTTCGTCCTTTGTTTTTCTTCTTTTAGGTTTATTCAGAGCATAGTCACATACTAGTGTTTCTAATTATGGCTTACATTCTTTGAGCCAATATCAAACCTAAACTATTTTGGACCCACATGAAGCAAACCTTCAACCCATTCTTTAACAAAAGTAAGCCATAATACTCACAAGTCACAACAGCTATGAGCTAACATACTCTAAATCAATTTGTAAATTTTTCCTTTATCTAGTCAGACTATTCTTAACAAAAACCAATGATATTGGACTATCAATACTAATCACTATGAAAACAATAATAACCTTGTAGCTAAATCAATCAACAAAAAGCAAAGAGAAAGTTAGCGCCAGAAAATGCCAACCAAACCTTCCAGATAATATCACTCAACAAATCTTTCGCAAATTTTCAATTACCATTCATCTATTATCATCCAAATTGCACGCATTAGAGGTACAATAGCAAAATCAGACAACCTTGTCTACTATCTAGTACTAGTGCTGCAATTAAAGGTCAAACCTCATGAGTCATTACATACCAGAATTTTGGCGCTTCCAAAATCACAAAGCTTAACTTGGTGAGTGAGAGGATCAACCTAATGCAAATTAACAGGGGAAGGTTGAAAACAAAATAATACACTGCTTGATAGATGATAACAAAAATTGAAGCTCCGAAATCATACCAGAACATTTTGTGGCTTCACATCTCTATGGCAAACTCCTGGAACACTATGAATATAAGCTAGCCCCCTGAAAATCTGCAAAATCACCCAATAGAGTAAGCATTTCCAACATAATATTACGAGCAATGCAACAGAATAAAAGCAAAAAGAAAAAAAAGTACCTGATAGGTATAGAGCTTCACAAATATCAATGGCATCCTCTGGTTCATACTACTATAATGCTTAAGAACTCGGTATAAAGATTCAGGCACAAACTCCATGACCAGGTTGAGAAAAAGCTCGTCTCTGCTTGTGGTCGAGAAAAAACAGTGCTTTAAAGAAACAACATTAGGATGATCCATCGTGCGCATCAATTGAAGCTCCCGATTCTTGTATCTCTTGTCCCGCAACACCTTCTTTATGGCAACAGTCTCCCCTGTTTCCAAGCATTTGGCCTACACAATATATCAAACGTTAAGCCGAAACCTAAAATTTCTCATACTTTCAGAAGAATGAACAAATGGAGGCAGTTCTTAACCTGGAAGACAATTCCAAATGACCCAGTTCCCACAATGCGCTCAGCCATATAGCTAATCGTCTGCAATCACAAATAGAAAAAAGCCCGCGATCATCGAGTGAAAAGTAGACCAATATTCATATATAAAACTTCAATCTCAAAAACACTAACCCTCTTTGGTTCACCATTCTTCCCTTCAATTGTAGTAGAGATGATATGTCCGGTGACGGGTTCGTTCGACTCCGTCATAGTCTGATCCTGCAACAGTCAATGGATATCATCAAAAAAAAAAAAAAATCAACCCCCCCAAAAAAAATGCACCAAACAAGCACTAAACAAATACACCAGCCCTTACGCTAGAACAAGCTGCAATAGCCAAAACCAAAGGAGCTTCCGAGGGCAAAACAAAAGGGAGAGACTTTGAAAGCAAGCATCAAAGAGCTTTTAAGCTCAGACTCAGAGGAATAACACAAAACCAAGCAAACAAGGAAGCTATCTATGGCTGAAGACACCGAACTGAAACAAGAACGAATCTTTTTCCTAAAACAGGTCACTTTAATACAAGACCAGAGCGAAAACACCGAAATTCCCCCCAATAATTAAAAACCCTAAAAAAGGCAAATTCGCCATGGATCCGCAGATCTACAGGTAAAACCGCGTATCCAGCCGCAGAAGCCCTAGGAACTAGGCGGAGAGCAGAATCGAGGGAACCCTAGAGAAGGTGAAGGGTAACACGGTAATCTTACCTTTTCTTCAGCCATTTTCGGCCGGCGGCGGCGGCGGCGGCGGCATCAGCTGCTGAAGATGAACAGAGAGGGGAGCAAGCGGTCGAAGAGGGTACCCGGAAGAAGACAGCGGGGCCATGCGGGTGAGCACCTCACTATTTCATTCTACCCCCTTGGTTTCGCAAAAATTATTCTTTCAGTACTAGGCTGCTGGTCTACCTATGACTTTTTTTATTTTTATTTTTATTTTTTTTTGTTTTTGTTGTTGCTGTTGTTGGGTGGCGTGAGGCTGTGAGCTGTAGTTTTGTGGACTTTGAACAGGCTTGCTAGTGCTTTTGACCGGTTGAACTTTGAATGAAAATGTGATAGGTTCATTAAATGCGTGTTGCGCATTCGGGTCGGGTTTGCTTCGGTTGGGGAATTTAGTAGGTGGTAGCATTTGAAGCTCTGACCGCTCTTGTTGAACGTCTGAAAAGTCTTCTAAATTTCAGACCGTTTACTGCTCGCCCCTAGTTACAAGTGAGGTTAGTCAGGGGTTTAGAGCAATCTTGAGATTTTTACAAAATATTTACCCATTCAGCTTATTATTATCCAAATACCAAGTTCAAGGAAAAAATGATTTCACCTCCAGACATCTTTTGAAACCAAAAGAATTGGAAGCAAAATGATGAATCAACCGAAAGCCCACTGATCATCAGACTGTTGTTCAGAAATAGTAGTCGTTTGTAAAAGAACTGGTATAGTAATGCCAAGATTATTAAACCCTACTTGCAACTTCTTCAAAATTCTGAACCAACACGGAGGAGAAAACTTGAAGTTAGCGAACAGATGACTTATCCATCATAATCATAACATTAGCATGACTAATACAGTACATAACTGAGTTCATCAATGCACAACGCGCGCACTCAGGTTGTCGGTAAGTCATCTTCTAAATCTAACCTCGAGCTAGGTTAATGCAAAACTTTTCCAAGTCTGAAGCCATTCAAGAAATGGCTTTATGGGATCCTGGGGTTGAAGGCGACTTGGGTAGCGTGTGAAAGCTGGAGCAGCTGCCGACCTTTGCTGTGGACTTGTGCTTCACGAGAGGGACCAGCGACTGCACCACATCGGCCATTAGAGGCCTGTAATCTGCCTCGGGTTGAACGCACATTGCAGCGATGGCTGCCACTTGAACAGCATCCTTTACTGCGTACTGGCCTTCTAGTGCTGGATCCATGATTTGTACCACCTTCTCTCTGTCTGTGAGTCGGGGTAAAGCCTTTGGTAACCGATTAGAGAAGAGGAATAGCATTAGTATATGATGTCAAGGAGAGTTCTTCCATTCATATAACCAATAAAAAGTTACACAAAAGGAAATGCACAAGAAAGACTAATGAATTGAATGAGAATACAAGTGGTGGAAATCGAGTGATGTTTTGGATCAGCTTCTCCATGATTGGTTCCTTGTTACTAAAAGATAATTAGAAATAAATAAAACATTTGAGATTTAGCTTCATGTTGCTGAAATGAATCTGAACTTGAAGTCATTGAAACAGAAAGTAACAGAATTGCTATTCAGAAAGTCTATAATCAACTTTAACTGGAATAAAGAATACTCACCCAAGATACAAGAACTCCTTCCCCAGAAGGCCTCTTAGTGTCGACTGGAACTCTTCCTGTAAGCAGCTCCAAGAGCACGACTCCATAGCTATACACGTCTGACTTGGTTGTCAGATGTCCAGTCATCGCATATCTGCTCATGTAAATATTAACAGTGAGTTCAGATAACAGAAGAATTTTATCTGTTATTTGCTTTTTTACGGGTGTGTAGGGCAAAAGAATTACAAGAATTTTGGTCAATACATATCCTCAATATAAAACAGAATCCACTATCCAACATCAAGAGCTCTAATACTTACTCCGGTGCAACATATCCTTGGGTGCCCAAAACTCGAGTTGAAACATGGCCTCCAGCTTTGTCAGAGCCAAGCTTGGCTAAGCCAAAATCTGAAACTTTTGCGTGAAAATTTCTGTCCAGAAGGATGTTGCTGCTCTTGAAATCCCTGTGAATAACAGGGGGATTGACCTGCTCATGCAAGTACTCCAGGCCTTTCGCAGCTTCAAGAGCTATTTTCATCCTCAACTCCCAGCTCAACTGTGAAATACCGCCTTGGGAACCTAAGGATGTAAAGTAGTTTAGAAGATTTACTTGCACAACCTTTTCCACAACCATACTTCCTGACTTATTCGTTACAACTGAAGTTGATGAAAACCTCCTTAAAATGGATGTATCAAGCTTGCTTCCTCACATCAAATATTAAAAATCTAATAACCTTATATGTTAAACGCCCATACCGGTGTTCAGAGATACTTACTTTCAAAGCTTAGCAAACATGTAAGAGTATCATAGTTTGTTATAGCGACAGCATGCGGTACAAAAATGTGATAAAGAATCAACCATCTCCAAACAATTCAATGAACTACATATGTGCCTTCTATGGAAAGCACAGCTGAGCTGCAACAGAAGCAAAACTAAACTAAGTCTTCTAAACCGACATGAGTAGTTTGTTTTCATTGCCATGCCATAAGCCAAGAGCCCAAGAAAAAAAGAGAGAGAGAACTATGTAATCATTCAAGGTACTGACATAGGAATCTATAAGGTGGCCACTTCTTAAGGTTCAATAATTGTGGTAGTTAGTTGTAGTTTACTTTTGTTCATCAATCGTGTTCAGATTTTCTAAATGTTTCAACGTTATTGTAAACTAGTCTTGTTCTTTAGATAGAGAAGGGTCCATGCAAATATATGCAGATATTTCTACTACTGCTGATAAATTAATTCAGAACTACTGCTGAGTGTCACATTATGGCTCTGAAACTTACTTTCCAGAGTGGCTTTCCAAAAAGAAACTAAAAGGTCAAAGTAATAAGGGAAATCTAACTTAATAGTTATGCTGGTTAGGCTCATGCAACAATGAAACAGCCCACTATGACTCTCCTTGATTAAGCATAGATCGCAGGAAGAACTATTATAGTTATCTTCATATTCTACGAACCAGTGGTAGAATTTAATACATACGCAAGAGTATGTATCATATTTGTAGTAAGAACATTCCAAAGAGTTTAGGATTTAAAATCTAGACGATAGAGGCTACTTGATTGCATTAATATACAACTCCTAAGACAAATCAAATAACATACAGATAAAACTAATGAGGTGCAACAAAGATGATGATGAAGATACTAAGGGCATGAATAATGGTGGTGGAGTGTGAAAATGGTATGGATTTCCACTATAATGGGGAGACATTGAGTATGGGCAGTGGGGCACTTAGGAAGCATGGACACTTCAATTAGTAGCCACTACCCGTGACGTGTCAGCCACCATATCAGACATGACATTTTTTTCATAGCATTGTAGTTTTATGCATATTTTAGAATTTGTCATGCGTTGATGTGTCACCCTGCATTGTTTTACATTTGTGTTGGCATATTCACATTGGTTCAACTTAGATGAATACCAATTCATAAAACCTTTCTACACTTCATCGATGTTGTTATAGTCAAATATTTAATAAGAATGCAAATAACTATGAAAATTCAGAAAAAATATCATGAAGCTATTTGTGGTTACTTAAGAGTTATCAAACAAAAAGAAATTATTACATTTTTAACTAAAGATAAATAATTTGAAGCTTTACAGTTATGAAAGGTGCTAGAGATGTTGGTTTAAAAAAAAACAATTGTAAGGCAATGGAACTTGACAGATAAAATATGCTGCGTCAGAGGTAAATATCATTTGGTACCAAAAACTCGCAAGTCCCTTCAATTGTATTATTGTGCAAGTAAACAATTCTTTAAACCCAGTTCAAATGCATTGTTATAACCATACAACTCATCACCTTGAGCTTTCGGGCAAAGTTCTTATCTAATACAAAGCACATTGCCTCATTAGCTGTCCCTTCTTTGAACTGTATAATTCACATTCTTAATCTACAATTCATGCAGAACCTCTTTCACAATTTAAGTTAAACCCCACGCATTTAATCACATTCCTAACATATAAATCAACCTCAAACTTCAAAAAATAAATTACCGATTCAACCATAAGCAAACTAAACTCAGGATAAATCACCAAAAAGGGCAAAATATTGCATACCGCTAGTAGGATATAGATGCTCCTGCAACCCTCCATTCGCCATGTACTCATAAACCAGCATCCTATGACATCTATCCGAACAATACCCAATCAATCCAAGAAGATACGGCGATTTGAGCCTCGTCAACAGCTCCACCTACAAATCAACCACAAGAACGCCCAAACCCCCCCAGTCAAAACCGGACAACATCAAATCAATCGCAACCAAAAGCATCAAATTATCAAGAACCAAGAACCGAAAACCTCCATCTTGAACTCCTCCTCCCCTTGCTTCCCGGCTCGATCCATCAGCTTCACCGCGATCTTCCTCCCGTCGCCCAAAACCCCCCTATAAACCGAACCGAAGCTCCCGTGACCAACCACATTCCCCTTCCCAAACCCCCCCGTCGCCGAGTGCAGCTGCTTGTAGCTGAAAACTTGAACTCCCCTCTCGCTGCTCGCTCTCGCTTCAACTTTCCCGCCATCGGGGGCCGGAGGCTGCCCGAGTTCGAGGTCGTGGGGTTTTTTTAGGGTTTGGTCCTCGGATTCGAGGGATTTGCGGTGCTTGGAGACTTGGGAGCTGATGTAGCAGTAGTAGCTGAAGGCGATGAAGAGGGAGACGAGGGCGAGGACGGCGAGGACGATGATCACGAGGAGGGCAATGGTTTCTTCTCTTCGATCATCGCCTTCCATTTTTGGAAACCCTAACCCTGACCCTGGAGATTTTTCTGGGGTTTTGGAGGGAGAGGGGGTTGATGGTGGTCCAGGAAGCGATGCGACGGAACGGAGGGGAAATTGATTTTCGTTTTTTAATAATAGAAACTTTGCATATTACTCCCTAACAATAGCATTTACTGTTAACTCGCTCTCAAATTTATGATGTAAACTTTGCAATTACTTCTGTTTGACCTCTTCCGCAATTTTGTCGTGTGTGTGTCGTTATATTCTTCTTGAGAAAGTATAATTTTTGTAATTTTAATTTCTTGTTTAATCTCTTATTCCGTTGTATGATCACAGGATTACTGATGCTGATCCATTATGTATGAACTCAGTCCAAATTTTAGTCATACAATTTCAACATATTGCGGTTGAAAGCTAGACCTTACATGTAATGCATCTATGGTAAATCTGTTACGTGTCGGCAGAAGCGTGCGCACAAATCAAACGAGTCGTTGAGCAGTGAGAGGAGAACAACTAATGAGTGCAAATCACATAAGAACGGCAAAAATCACACACAAACACAGAGATTTACGTGGTTCGGCAATTGCTTACGTCCACGGGGAGAGGATGAGGAGATTTCACTATATGTAGGAGAAAACAACGGGTTACAACTCTCACAAACGCTTAAAATAACCCTAATCAAAGATCTCTTGCTCCCTCACAATAATCTCCCTCTCAAAGTGCTCAAAACAATCAATAATCTCTGTTAACAACTCTCCTATAAACCCTAGAAAACGTGTTTCAATTTATATCAAAACACAATCCAAAACAGGTTGGGAATCAGAAAACTGCAAACCGGCCCAATATCCGTTATCAGTTGACTGATGATGTCTCATCAGTCGATTGGTGGACCTCCATCAGTTGACTGATGAGACATCATCAGTCGATTGTCCAGAGGATTTGTTTTTTGTCCCTGCAGGTGCACGCGACCAGTCGATTGGTTATATGCTATCAGTCAATTGACCCGAAATTTCCTATAGCTTCTTTTCTCATGCGATTTTCAACAAGTCTTCACTGTTTTCTACAAATCTCCACCTCGGCGAAGCGTTTCCAAAACCGAGCCGACACCAACATGAGCACCAATGTGTCGTCTCGCCAAATCCGGCTGCACTAATGTGGTGCCTACGTACCCCCTCTCCTAAGGGATCAAGCTACTCATAGTTCATCCAAATGGCCTCGACATGCCTCAACAAGCATGAATTTGCAACAAGCTTCTACAATGATCGAACTTGTTCCTCGGAACCACCTTCGTGAGCATATCTGCTGGATTGTCTTTCGTGTGGACCTCACGAGCTCCACATCTACATCTTCAAGAGCATCTCGAACGAAGTGATAACGAACGTCGATATGCTTCATTCTCGCATGGAAAACCTGATTCTTCACCAAATAAATAGCACTCATGCTATCACAATAAACGGTGACGGATCGTTACGAAACACCAAGATCTTCCAAAAGTCCTTGAAGCCAAATTGCCTCCTTAACAGCCTTCGTAATCGCCATATACTCTGCCTCCATCGTCAACAAAGCCACTGTAGACTGCAAGGTGCATCTCCAACACACCGGCGTATGGGTCAAAGTAAACACATACCCCGTCATCAACCGACATTTATCCAAATCTCCAGCATAGTCTAAATCGACGTAACCAATACATAGCTGCCCACCGCTAGTGTCCCGTTCAAATACTAAACCAACATTGAGAGCACCTCAAATGTACCTCAATATCCATCTCACGGCATCCCAATGACCCAGACCCGTGTCGTGCATGTATCATGAAACTATGCTCACTGTCTGTGACAAATCCGGCCTCGTACATACCATGGCGCACATCAAACTTCCAACTGCGTTCTCATATGGAGTCTTTGATATCAACTCTCTATCTTTAACTATCTTCGGTGAGAGGTCAGCTGGAAGCTTCAAATGGGCTTCCAAAGGTACACTGACTGGCTTCGTCTCCATGCTCACATTGAATCCCTGTAAAACCTTCTTCAAATAAGCCACATGTGTCAAACAAATTATTTCTTATCTCTATCTCTGCCGATCTCCATCCCTAAAATACACTTTGCTTTACCCAAATCCTTCATCTCAAATTCGCTCGAAAGTTGTATCTTCAAGTCATCTATGGAGGATCTAGAAATAGAAGCAACCAACATGTCATCGACATAAAGTAATAAGTATATGTACGCACCTCCATGCAACTTACGATAAGACGTAAGGATCAAACTGGCTCCTAATATACGAATGACCGAGCATGAACCCATCGAATCGCTTATACCAATGTCTCGGAGATTGCTTCAATTCGTATAGCGATTTCTTCAACCTACAAACTAATTTCTTCTTTCCTGCAGCTCGAAACCCTAATGGTTGAGTTATATATATTTCCTCATCAAGATTACCATGAAGAAATGTCATTTTCACATCCAACTGATCCAATTCTAAACCATACTGTGCCACCAAAGCTAGCAAGATCTGAATCGAAGAGTGCTTCACCACCAGAGAAAAGACCTCATTATAGTCAATGCCTTCTTTCTGTGCATATCCCTTCACTACCAACCTAGCTTTAAACCTCACTGGAGTACCCCGAATGCCCTCTTTCTTGATATACACCTATTTACAACCAATTGTCTTCCGCCCCTTTGGAAGCTCGACAAGCTCCCATGTGCCATTCTTTTGAAGAGACTCCATCTCCTCCCACATAGCTTCCTACCATAAATCAGCCTCTGAACTCTGCTCAACCTCTCTAAATGTAGTAGGAACCATTTCATCGACACTCTCCACCGGAAGTGCATACGCAACCACTGTATCTATATACCTCACTGGCAACCGTATGTCTCTCCTCGGTCTCCGAACTATAATAGAATCATGAACCTGAGCTGTCGGTCCCTGATCCTGCTCTGTTGTACTTATATCCTCCAAATCATCACTATGCTTGCCTGACGTCACCTCAGTCGGTACTCTAATGGATACAGTTCCATTTAGACTCTATGGAGCTGCATCAATCTTCACCATTTATGATGTCTCCTCTGTCGGGATGCTCTCCACCTGATGAGAACTGGGAGGCTTCAAGAGCGAAGCCTTATCAAAAGTGACGACTCTACTCAGCACAATCTTCTTATCAACTGGATCCCAAAGCTTGTATCCTTTTACTCCATATTTGAATCCCACAAATATGGTCATTCTAGCTCGCGGTTCTAACTTATCAGTCCTCACATGATAAAATGCAGGGCACCTAAAAAACTTGAGCTGATCATAATCGTGTGCTGGCTCTCCCGACCATATTTTCATAGGGGTCTTCCCCCTCAATCGCAGATGAAGGTAGCATATTAATGAGGTGACTCGCATATGAAAGTATCTCAGCCAAAAAGATCTTTCCCAAACCACTCTGTGATAACAAACATTAGACTTTCTCTAGTAAATACCGATTCAATCTCTCTGCCACCTATTTTGATACGGCGTATGACTAACTGTGAAGTACCTCTCTATGCCCTCGTCTTAACATAGCTATTGAAAGGGGTCTGAAGTGTACTCGCCATCGTTATCGGATCTCAACGTCTTGATCTTTCTCATTGTCTGCAGTTCCAATCTTCTCTTTCACTATATAAATATCTCTAGGACTTCACTCTTATGCTTCATGGTGTACACCCAGCAACGCCTAGAATAGTCATCTATAAATGTGATGAATCAATATTGACCACCAAGTGATACTGTCTTGGTGGGACCCTAAACATTCGTGTGCACGTAGTCCAAGATGCATGTCATCCTATGAACAATTGTCCCGAACTTCACTTTAGTCTTCTTGCCAAGAACATAGTGCTCACAAAAATTAATCTTCACACTCTTTGCTCCCTTCAATAGCCTCTGCTTGCATAATGCCTACAATGATTTTTCTCTTGTGTGCCCCAATCTATAGTGTCATAGTCTGCTCGTATCCACCTCTGAAACTGTTGAAGCTACCTAACCAATCTTGTGCTTCCCTTCAGATAATAAAGATTTCTACTGCGGATTTCCTTCATCACTACCAAAGATCCCTTGGTAACTTTTGCTACAACATTTTTAAAAGTCACCTTGAATCCTTTTGCCTCCAAAGTTCCAATAGAAATAAGATTCTTCTTCAATTGAGGAACAAATCTCACTTCATTCAGCTCTCGAATAACTCCATCATGTATCTGAATCATGATGGTACCTATCCCACAAATGCCACATGATTAATCGTTTCTCATGACCACCACACCCCCATTAAGCTTCTCTAAAGATGCAAACCAATCTCTCCGGGTAGTCATATGATAAGTAGCACCCGAATCCAACATCTGATCCGATGCATCCATATGGTTAACCTCTAGAGTAATCAATAGAGAAAAACATGAATCATCTGAATCATCACCATCTTTAGCGAAATTCACCTCATTGGCCTTCGGGCCCTTCTTCTTGCTGTTCTCCTTTTCTCTGAGCTTCGGGCAATCTTTCTTCCAATATCCTTATTCTCTGCAAAAGGCACACTGGTTCTTTAAAAATTTATAGTGACCTCTAGACTTTGACCTGACTTGATTATCACCTCTCGGATATGAACTCTTTCCTCTCGTCAACAATGTCTCTCCTAAAGTGCTAGCTCTGGAAGACTCTTTATCCTTCCACCTCAAGTTGAAATTCGTTAACACATTAGTCACTTTACTATAGGTGATGGAAGATCTACTATTCAACAAAGTGAGCACGAAGGTATCATACTCCTCATTGGGTAATGAGCCTAACAAAATAATTGCATTGTACTCATCCGATATCTTCTCATCCATATTCGCCAAGTCCGACAATAACTTTGTGTAGTTGTTCACATGATTTGCAAGTGAGGTACCCCTGGACATCTAAAATCTGAACAATCTTCGCAGCAACAAGTGTAACCAGTTTTCAATACTTTTTGTAAGATACTTGTTATTGAGAATCTCTCACATCTTCATCGCAGACATCACGCCGATAACATCGTACTTCAACTATTGTTCCAAACAAGATCTAATCACCCCACAAGCATTTCGATTCATCTTATCTCATATCGCCTCATCATACTTCGGTAGCCTCTCGTGAGTCAT